GTTAATATATATCTATTTCAAACCATGTATGGTTTATCTCTTTGTCTATCTCGAATACAGAAATAAATGCACACACACACACACACACACACACACACACACACACACAAATTTCTTCGGTTCAATCGATGAAGCGAAAATATTTTTTTTTGCCAGAAATTCATTAAAATTCGCTCTCTTACTTGTCTTTCATAATAAAATAAAATTATTTCGTTAATGTCCTTTAAGATTTGTTAAAATACGAACATGCATAACCCGAACAAAGCTGAACGAAAACGGATGCAAGTCATAAGAATTCTGATAATATTATTAGCAAATCGGTCAATTTTAATGTCCAGCTTTTGTAGATATTTTTATATTCCACGATGCGGTTGAACTGGGGAAAAATAGGCATAACGTAACAACAGAAATATAAAAAAAATATCGTCTTGTTCGTACGGATCTCTCTTTACGTGGGTACATTGTTAATAGTTTGATGTACTTTATTACGTTTTACAATAATAGGATGCCAACATTGTATGGTTAATTTGCAGATTAGGACCCGCGCTCAGTTTGCAATAAAAATTTCCCGAATACTTACATTTAGGTATAAATGTACACGCTTCATTCGAAAATGACTAGATAAATTTGATAAAAACTACCGTTTTGGAGCTATCAACAATAACATTTCGGATTCATTCGTGTCACGGGAGCCATTAATGGCGTTGTTTGCATAAATTTGTTGCGGTTGGCTATGAGTAGAATATTCACTTGTCTTGATTATTGCGCACGCAATATAGTTCTCTTGCGCAGTAATGGCGATAAGTTGAGACAAGTAAGATCGTTAAAAACAAGACTGTTAACTACGTTCCCTTCCACGTTTAGCTTTTCGCAGCGAATGTATGCAACGACGCCAGTAATGGCTGCCGCCAACGACGCGAATGAATTCGAACTTTTACTGTCGATAACTCCAAAACGGTAGATTTTATCAAATTTATCAAGTAATTTTCCAATGAAGCATGTACATTTACACCTAAATGTAAGTATTTGGGAAATTGTTAATGCTAACTGAGCACAAGTTCTAATCTGCAAATTAACTGATTGACTTTCCCGGAGAAGAAATGTCTGGCAATAATAAAGGAGAACTTATATACTGTCTGAATGGGAAAGATTACGTTTCTCTTCATCAGCAGGGTAAGGATTAGGTTTAAGGCTGCAAGTTCTCACTAGAGACAATAACATAATGGATTAAGACGTTGGTGTGTGAACTTAGAGAATGTGTAGTCGGACTCTGTTGGCAGAGGGCGAAAAATAACTGCAGTTTACAGTATTTATATTATTTGAACAGTTATCCTATTTTTATTGCCATATTCACAACGTTTCGGTCGTTCTACGCTCAGGCCTTCTTCAGGTAATGGAATTTCGAACAGAACCCTTTATTTCGTCAACTGTGGTAGATTGTTCTAGTTCCACGTGCCATACCTCTTCCGGATGTCTCAGTTATTTCCCTTTACCCCAACTCTCCAAGATTTTGGTTTACCACTGCTATGGCCTGGAATTGAACTCACAACTTTTTGGGTCTGGTCACTGGATCTAACCAACAGCTTTATCCACTGGTCCTTGAATATGTCCTGTGGATGAATTTCTGGGACTTAGAAACGTAATGTCTCAGCAACCAGTATTCATAGACAGTGCTGAGAAGACCTGAAGAAGGCCGGTGTATAAAACGGCCGAAACGTTGTGAATATGACAATGAAGGTGAGGATAACAGTTCGAATAATGTAAATAATCATAATACCTCGACTCAGAGATATAGACAGGGATATATAGATACATAGACATAAAGGCCGGAGCGTACAACGACCGAAAGGTTGTGAATATGACAATAAAGATGTGGATAAAAGTCGGAATAGGTAAATAATCTAAGTAATCATAATACTGCATCTCAGAGATATAAATATAGATACAGAGAGACATAGACATAAAGGTCGCAGAGTACATCGGCCGAAACATTGTGAATATGGCAATGAAGATGAGGATAACAGACCAAATATGTAAATAATCCTAATACCTCGTCTCGGAGATACAGACAGATAACTATGCCGACGACGCAACAACAACTTATTTCTGTCTCGATAGTAAAGCTTATGGTATCCGATGTCCCCTACGATCTCAAGTCTGTAGTTAACTGCGACAAAAGATGGCTTGTTAATTTTAACGCTTCCAAAACTAAATCTCTCTTTATTAATCATCTGCGAGATCCTTCACTGCCTTCTATTAGCATGGCTGATGCTATCCTCCAGGAAAATAAATCGTGGCGCCAACTCGGGCTCACGTTCTCCTCTGATATGAAGTGGAAAGACTATATTGAATCCAGTGCGAGCTCAGGTGCTAATAAAGTCAACTCATTATGTCAGGCGAGACAATTTTTCTCTCCTGAATTTATCTTACATATCTATAAGTCTATCGTTCGTCCACGCTTAGAATATTGCTCCCACAGAGAGCTATTTACCTTGATCTCCTTGATACGATCCAAAGAGGAATCAGTAATATTACTGGCGGCTCAACTGCAGTCTCTTTCCCGCCGCCTTAAGGCTGCCTCACTGTCTTTTCTGTAAATATTTTCATGGTAATTGTTCGGATAAGACCTTCGCTATGGTACCTAGAGTTTTTGAATTTAAGCGTAGCGCTATACTGGCGTCGAGATTTCATCAATTTACAGATGAGCCGGCTAGATATATCCGTACATTCTATGCAAATAGTTTCTTCTCTTGCTTATGGAACTCCCTTCTGGCTCCTTGCTTTCTAGGCAACGTTAATCTGCAAATATTTAAATGCAATGTCAATCGTTATCTACTGTCCACCTGATTACTCTTTTCTCTTTTTGCTTATTATCAAAGTTTCTGTTCCTTATTCTGTAAAGCCTTTTGCTTTAGCGGTGGTACGGCCTTGCTTAGAGTGACTCCGATCAAAAAGATTCCCTGTAGGTTACGCATATCGAGATTCACTTGCTGAAGCCCGCAGGGCAAAACAGTGGAAACGATGTAATATCAACAACAAGGTTGCGAACAATGGCCCGCATGTAAATTGTGTAAATAATGATAACTCCTCTTCCCATAAATTCAGACAAATTATTTGGTCGCAGATACAAAATAAACAAATAAACTCTTTATACATATATATATATATATATATATATATATATATATATATATAAATTGGAAAAAGTTTTTTGATGCGTTTCATCCATTAGGACTTCATCGGAATGGGTTTGTTGTCGTTGTCGTGAATACACATGCGCACGAACGAGGGATTCTGGGAGTTTTAAAATTTAGAAATCATTTTTTTTAAAATCTCTAACCAAATTATTTTAGAATCTTTTTCTTTTCGCTTCCATCATCTTTGTTATTAAATATCCCAAATTGTGATAATAGAAAATCTGCCAAGAATGATGGGACGTTGTAAGAATCTGGACATAAATTTACTGTGGATGAACGAGCGATTAAAGCACTTTCTAGACATTTTCGTCTTAATGAATTACCTTTTTTTTAAGTAGCACTTTTTATATCAAAATTGTGGTCAGTTTCGTTACGGTGAACAACCAATTACTCTTTTGGGTTTATAATCTTTTACTTAAACTTTTTGAGATTTCTCCAATATATTCTTTCTGACAATCCTTGCAGGTAAATTCCTTCTTCAAGTTTTTTCTTGTTTTTTTTTTTTCATTAAGTCTTCTATTGTTTTAGATGTAGTTGTGAAAATTAAGTTTGTGATAGAGTTAGTGGTTAGAACAAAATATTTTTTTTGATTAGTTGGATTTGTCAGGATGGGCCGCTTTCCTATTTCGGAATATTTTATGAGCCTTTTTTTTCGCATTGAATATGAAATAGTTTGGGTATCGAAGGGTCTTGAAAATGTTTCTCCACTTTGTGTAAATATTGAGGGCAGCAAGTTCTAATTGCTCTTAAGTAGAATCCAATGAATATTCCGGATTTCATTTTGTTATTATGATGGGAATATAAATTTATTGAGTCATTTTTATCAGTTGATTCTCAGTGGACACTAAGTTTTAAGCTGCTGTCAACTCGGTGTAACATGATATCTAGGAAATGTAAAGTATTCTTTACTTACTTTTCGTATGTAAATTCTATTGTATTCTCAACTTTATTTACTTTATCTTCAAGATCCGGTAAGTCAGTATCATGGGGATATATTAATATTGCATCATCAATATATCGGAAGTAAGCTGATTGTTTAGGCAAAATATTTTGAAACGGACCAGATTCGAGAAATTCTAAGATACATGCTATCATTCGACTAAGAGGTGATCCCATTGGTAATCCAAATTTTTGTTTGTTAAATTGATATTAAATGTGAGATAGCATTGATTGTTGATGAGACGGCAGTTTTTTTTATTATTTTAGATATCGGTAAGGAAAGATTCATCTTTGCGTTAAATACATTTTAAAGAGAATTAAGCATTTTTCAACCGGGACATTAGTGTAAATTTATAGTATATATATATATATATATATATATATATATATATTTATAGAATGGCCCCAAAATTGTCAGTTATATTAGTTTATCTTAGTTTTTCAACTGACTGAATTGTTTTTTATATGTGCTGGACTTTTGCTATGGCTTCTGCTAGTTTGTGGCGGTGTTGCATATTCCTGAAATCATGGGGAGTATAAGGATGTTTGTTTGGGTATTCTTATTGTCCTCATTTGTCGCCATTTTTAATCAGATTCCTAATCGTTTTGAAAATGTTTGTGGCTCAATACCGTAATTCCCCATGTATAATACGCATTATTTTTTCTAAAAAATAATAAGCAAAATTAGGGTTTCGTATTATGCACAGCTAGAAAAAAATCTTTAAAAATTTGCCGTTTCATCGGTCGATTTCAGTTGCGAAATGGCTACTCACCACAAACATACGACAATTTGACACTAACATTCGGCGATTGCAACCCCATAAGGATGACAAATACAATCATATGTACCAAACAATATTTACA